ACCCAGTAATGGAATGGCTGGGTCATATGGTACATCTAGTTCTAGATCCTTGAGGAATCGCCATACTGTTTTCCATAATGGTTGAACTAGTTTACAATCCTTATTTGAGTCCTTTACATGACAGTCTCTTCCTCTTCTGAGTGATGTTTGGGAGTGACCATTTTATAAAACTGGCACAGCTTGGACCAGTCAGGTATCACACATATGAGCAGGGGAGTTGCTCTTTCCCATGTGGTAGGGCGAGGGCTGGGCTAGGACAGTGTATGGATTGGGGGCAGCATGGGTGATGTTGGTGTAGTGTGGGAATGAGATGCAGCAGAACCAATGGCTGATGTCAGATGTGAATAGATCCTGCTCTGCCACAAAATGGCTGTATGACCTTAGACTAACTAGTTAATCTCTTTGAATATCTTTTTTTCCTTTTTTTTTTTTTTTAAATGACAGTGTCTTAGGATAGCTAATTAATTAGGGTAGCTTGCTATAACAAATAAGCTCCCAAATTGTTTAATAATTCAAAAGTAATAAACATATCTTTCTCATGGAATAGTATTGGGTGTGTTAGGCGGGTGGCTCTCTTCTCCATGCAGTCATTCAGGGACTCAGGCTGATGGAGATTCTGCTGTCTTCAACATGTGTTTTCCAAGACCACCCAGAGAGTTCCAACTTACGAGAAAAGAAAAAGGAGCATGGAGGATCTTACACGGGAGGTTTTTGTGGGCCAGGTCTGGAAGCAGCATGTGCCCCTTCCACTCATCTTCCATTGGGTAGACTTCAGTTAAATGGCCACTTATCACTGCAAGGCGGGCTGGGATGTGTAGTCTAGGCTCTGAGCCACCGTTTGTCTGTGTGTAAGCTGGAGATGATAACTGTTCCCACCTCCAGGATTTGTTTTGAGGATTAATCAAAGTAATGAAAGCCAAGGCCTGAGTGTGGCACCTGGCATACAGTAAGTGCATAATACAGGATAGCGCTTTAACTGGTAGTGCTGCTAAGTCACAAGCTTTTGCCCTTGACTCCAACCCAGTCTGTCTTTTCACCTGTTAGTTGGATGAAGATGGGTAAGGTGTGCTGATAAGATTTGCTGATGACACAGAGCTTTAAGCAGGAGCAAATCTGTTGGATAATAGAACTGAAATTCAGAAGTTGTTTGCACCTAGATTGAGCTGAAATCCAACGGATGGGATTTGACAGGAGTGTATATAAAGTTCCGCATTTGGGTCAGAGATGTCAGCGACTCAAGTACAGAACTGAGATGACCTACCTGGGCAGCAGTTCCTTCTCTCCCTTGTTCATTCATTCCACATTATTTCCCAGAAATCTACTCTGCACCAGGCACCATGCCAGGTGCTAGAAACCAGAGATGAATCTGGAAGACATGGTCCTTGCCTGCCTGGGGTTAGTAGTCCAGAAGGCTGCACAACCCAGCCAACAGGAGCTTCAGCGGTTTGGAGGGCAGGAAGCAGACCCAGCAACCACAAGGGGAAGGGCTGGAGGAGAGCTTCCCATTGAGACCTGAGGATCAGTGGGAGTTAGCACGTGTGTGTGCGTGTATGTGTATGAGTGAATGGAATATTCTAGGCAGAGAAAACAGCATTATAGAGAGCCAGAGAGGGCAGCACATGTAGCACCTCAGAGCAGTTCTGAAGAGTTCTAAGCAGAAGCCAGATGGGACGAGGGGTACAGCGGCACGGAAAACAAGAGCAGCTCCCAGGCACTGAGCCCTTGCCGCCTGCATTAGCTCATCCAATCCACCTGATGGCCCCCATGAAGGGGGAACTCTTTTATTTTTTCTTTTTTTTGAGACAAAGTCCCACTGTGTTGCCCAGGCTGGAGTGCAGTGGCACGATCTCGGCCCACTGCGACCTCCCGTCCTGGGTTCAAGTGATTCTCCTGCCTCAGCCTCCCAAGTAGCTGGGATTACAGCCACATGCCACCATGGCCGGCAAATTTTTGTATATTTAGTAGAGACGGGGTTTCGCTATATTGGCTAGTTGGTCTCGAACTCCTGACCTCAGGTGATCTGCCCGCCTCGGCCTCCCAAAGTGCTGGGGTTATAGGCGTGAACCACCACAGCTAGCGGGGAACTCTTACCATCCCTATTTTTTGGTCGAGGAGGTTTGAATTCCAGAGATATTAGGTAACTTGCCCAAGATCTCTCCTCTGGCAAGGGCAGAGCTAGGATTGGAGCTTAGATCAGTCTGACTCTAGAACCAAGTTTTCAACTACCATCTTCCTGCCCTTCTTGGCTGCACTGAAAAGTTTGGATGTTAGCCTCAGGATGATGGGATCCATTTAGGGTTCAATGGCAGGAGTGATGACCTGATCTGATTTACAGTTTAGAAGAATATAGGGTCTTAAATGACACAAGTTCAGCATACACTAGCTGAAAATCTAAAGCAGCTTTGGCCCTCAGGAAAGAGACTCTGTGGCTGGATCATTTGGGAGAAGGGCAATGAACATGGCAGTTTCCCCCGAAACAAGAGACCTCCCCAGGGGCACGTGCTCTGCCTCTGGTTCTCTGAAAGGCAACCAAGTTCTCTCTGCTTCCTTGGCAGAATAGAATCAGGGGATGCAAGTTACAATGAGAGATGCTGGGGCAGATATTGCTGAGAATCAGAGCTTCCAAGGGGGACAGATGGTGCAGGGCACCTCTTAGGGACAGCTTCTGAAGTCTCCTCATCTCTGAGATTTGGCATTGCAGATTTTACTTGAGCATGTGGTTGGTGGCTGGCTTTTATGTTTGTTTGTTTTTGAGACAAGGTGTCCCTCTGTCACTTAGGCTAGAGTGCAGTGGCACAATCACGGCTCACTGCAGCCTCAACCTCCCAGACTCAAGCGATCCCCCTGCCTTAGCTTCCCCAGTAGCTGGGATTACAAGCACCTGCCACTACACCCAGCTAATTATTTTATTTTTTTGCAGAGACGAGGTCTCCCTATGTTGCCCAGGCCGGTCTTGAACTCCTGGGCTCAAGAGATCTGCCTGCCTCAGCCTCCCAAAGTACTGGGATTATGAGCATGAGCCACCACGCCCAGCCTCCTGCTTTTACTTTTGATCCAACTGGTGGCCTGATTTCTTTCCAGCTGCCCAATTTCAGGGGGCTGGGCTGGCATCTCAGGCCAAAAGAGCTGAGAGGGTCTCTCTGTGGCTGCAGTGACCTGGAGAAATCGGTGGAGAAGATCCAGAGGGACGTGTCCCACAACCACCGGTTGGTTCCTGGCCCCGAGCTGGAGGAGAAGGCACTGCTGCTGAAGCAGCTCGGGGAGACGCTGACGGAGCTCAAGGGTGGGTCTGGGGCCTGCGAATGCAGCATGTTGTCCAGGGCGGGGGAGTCTGCCATATTCCAGCCACCATCCCCTCCTCCCAGTCTGCGGTGCTCTCTCTGGCCCCGGCTCATACCTTCCTGTCTCCGAAGCTCACTTCCCGGGCCTGCAGAGCAAGATGCGGGTGGTGCTGCGCGTGGAGGTGGAGGCGGTGAAGTTCCTGAAGGAGGAGCCCCAGCGCCTGGATGGGCTCCTCAAGCGCTGCCGCGGGGTCACGGACACACTGGCCCAGATCCGAAGGTCATTCTGTCCCTGACCTCTGATTTCCCATGGGGTCACACACTGGGCCCAGACCCATAGGTCAGACTGAACCCTTACCCCAGCTCCCCCAAAGGTCACTGACGTGCCGACTGAACTGGCATCTCAGCTCTGCCTTGTGACCCCTGCATGCTGTAGACCTGGCTTCCTCTTATACCAGGGGCAGTCACTCCTCCCCAGGCCCTCCCACCTCTCCTGCAGCATCCCAGGATGCTGCCTCCCACCCCTTCTCCCTCAGGCCAGCCTTCCCGCAGGAGGGTCATCACCTGCTGGCCTCACAGCTGCTCCCAACTCTCCCAACCCCAGGCAAGTGGATGAGGGTGTGTGGCCACCCCCCAACAATCTCCTGAGTCAGTCCCCAAAGAAGGTGACGGCAGAGACTGACTTCAACAAGAGCGTGGACTTCGAAATGCCACCCCCCAGCCCCCCACTGAACCTGCATGAGCTGAGCGGACCAGCTGAAGGAGCCTCTCTTACCCCTAAGGGGAGCAACCCCACCAAAGGCTTGGACACTCCTGGCAAGAGAAGTGTGGACAAGGCAGTGTCTGTTGAGGTGCTGGGGCCAGGGATTGTGGGTGGGGCCGTGAGCCAGGTTCACACATTCTTACGACCATCCTTCCTAGGGTGGGGAGTGCCAGTCATATGGGTCTTTTTCCTTGGTGGAGGAGGGCCAGTGCCCTAATGGAAGTCTAACAGGCATAATGAGGGTGACATTAGCCCTTCTAGACAGAAAGCATATTATGAAGCTACAATAATCAAAGCATTATGATGTTTGCCCAAGAATAGACTATGTAGTCAGTGAAATAATAGAATGCCCAGAAATAGATCTAAGTTTATCATGAATGTAGTATATAATGAGGATGGCATTCCTACCCATGGGGATGCCATGTCATACCCACAAGAAGTCAAAGAGTTTTCCGGGAGGTGGGATCAAATATGAGGCTTCCTTTTCTATTCCTTGCCTCTGTGGCTTGGGGGAGGAGGCTGAGGCCCCAGAGTTCCTGGAGCGGGAGAGCTACCTTGGTCCTGACTCCTGGCTCCCTCTTAAGGCTGCAGAGCGAGACTGGGAGGAGAAGCGGGCAGCCCTGACCCAGTATAGTGCCAAGGACATCAACCGGCTGCTGGAAGAGACACAGGCAGAGCTGCTCAAGGCCATCCCTGACCTGGACTGTGCCAGCAAGGCCCATCCAGGCCCAGCTCCCACTCCAGACCACAAGCCCCCCAAGGCCCCCCATGGCCAGAAGGCAGCCCCCCGAACGGAGCCCAGCGGGAGGAGGGGCTCAGGTATGGGGAGTAGTAGGGCTGGTGAGGAGCCCAGTGTCGGGGAGTGCCCTCCTCGGGAGCTCAGGCTGATGGGGGAGGCACTGGGGACTCAAGATCATTGTGGCCGGGCGGCCAGACAAGGGAGGCCCTGGGACATCAGCGGCCACTAAAGGGAGACTGGGACCCAGAAGGACCGGGTGAGCTGGATTCCATCCCGGCTTTTCCCACTGTCCTGGGAAGGGAGCCGCTGAGAGGACCAGGCAGGGAGGACAAGCAAGTCCAGGCAGAGTCATCCGCCTCCACGACTTGGCTGGGTGCATGCCACAAACCAGGCTGTGTTGAGGGTGGGTTCCAATGCTGATACTGACACAGTTCCCATGGTCCCCAGCCTGAGTCACGGTCCCGGGGTAGGCAGAAATCCAGACCAGAAGTGGCAGTCATCATTCCTTCATTTTATTCATTCCTGCAATGTATATTTGTTAAGCACCTACTGTGGGCTAGGTGCTAGAGATATGGAAATAAGACAGGGCTTGCTTTCAAAGAGCTCAGAATTTAGTGGGGGAAATAACACTGACATTTGTGTGTATCAAGCACTTGCTCTGTGATAAGAACTGTTCCATTGTTTTTAATGTATTCATCCTTACAGTTTTATAACAAGCCCAGGAGGCAGATACGGTAGTTATTTCCATTTTACAGAGGAGGACATAGACTCAAAATGATTAAGTAATCTGTGCCGGGCCATGCCTAGTATGTAAACCAGAAATAGAATGCAGATGTTAAAGGTAGTAGCAGAGGTGAATGCTGGCACTGTGCAGTCCTGGTGGAGGCCCTAGGAGGGCAGGAAGGCTTCCCTGAAGAGGTGACTTTTCACTGAAGTCTTGCAAATGAGTGGGCACTTCCCCAGCCAGTGAGAGAGAGTACTCCAGGGTGAGGGAACAGTGTGTGCAAACGCCTGGAGGGGTGTGTGTGTGTGTGTGTGTGTGTGGTGTGGCCTGAACAGGGTCCAACCTGGGGAGCAGCAGGCAGAGCTGAGGCTGAAAGCCTGGTAGGTGCAGAGGTGCTGGCCTAAGGAGCTTGGACATGGTTTGGGGTGATGGGGAGCCACTGCAAGATCAAAGGCAGGGGAATGTCATGGTTAGAGTGACCTCTCTGCAGGTTACCCTGGAAACAGGGCTGGAGGACTAATTGGGGGAAAGGAGAGCCCAGTGGGAGGGGCCAGGATCCCTGGAGGAGAGATGGAGAGCTGAGCCAGGGCAAGGGTGAGGGGCAATGGGAAAGAGGTCGTTAGAGCAGCGCCTCTCTAACTTGAATGTGCGTCCGTCACCCCAGGATCTGTTCAACCAGATCCTGATTTAGCAGCCCAGGAGCGGGGCCTGAGCTGCAGTTCTGACAAGCTTCCAGGCGCTGCCAGTACTGCTGGTCCACAGACCACACTTGGAGTGGCAAGAGTGCTGTCAGGAGAGGGACAGAGCTTGGGGCTGGCGTGCAGGAGGAGATAAGAGAAGGAGGGGGCCTGTGTTCTTGCCCCCAGGCTTTCTTCTCACTTCCTCCTGGTCCTCCCTGGAGGAGGAAGCAAGGTTTATCCCCTTCAAGTTAAATGTAGTGCACTGACTCCAGAGTTGCAGGCCCGCTGACCCCCGGCCCCTTGGTGCCTGCAGATGAGTTGACAGTGCCCCGATACCGCACAGAGAAGCCCTCCAAGTCACCCCCGCCGCCCCCTCCCCGCCGGAGCTTCCCCTCCTCCCACGGCCTGACCACCACACGCACTGGAGAGGTGGTGGTCACCAGCAAGAAGGACTCGGCCTTCATCAAGGTACCACTCCCACCTCAGACAGAGGGCCGGGGGACTGAGTTAGGATGAATCCTCAGATGACTTCTGGAGACCCTCTGGGGTGGGAAAGAGACCTCTTTCTCAGAGAACATGGAAGGAAGGAGGGGGTAGCCGGTGGCAACTTTGTCCTGCTAGTTTGGGATTCCCGGTATGTGTATTTGCCTTAATTCCATGCTAGGCCCCTGTCCGTTGAGGGACACCATGGGGCCTGGGAGGTGAGCTGGTGCTGAAGCCGGGCAGAGCCTGGCCTTGACAGGGGTCCCGGGCTTTGCAGAAGGCTGAGTCTGAGGAGTTGGAGGTGCAGAAGCCCCAGGTGAAGCTGCGCCGGGCCGTGTCGGAGGTGGCCCGCCCGGCCTCCACACCACCCATCATGGCCTCGGCCATCAAGGACGAGGATGACGAGGATCGCATCATTGCAGAGCTAGAGGTAGGTCAGGGCACACCTGGCCCCCAAGGTCTCAGCCAGGCCCCCTTCCCTGCCAGGCTGCCCCCAGGCCAGGTGACAGGATGAGACAGAAGATGGGCTCTCGGGCTCCCTGTGGAGCGCTGGCTGTTCAGACCTCAGGCTTTTGCCTCCATTTCTTCTCCACTGTGAAATGAGGGGTGGGGGTCTAAAGTCTTCTCTCCTTACAGATTTGAGTTTTTTAATTGTAGTCTCTGAGTCCCCCCAAGTATCCCCAGACCTCCTGCACTCTGAAAACCCCATATCCTAAGATTCGGAGATCACCAAGTTTGGAGACCCCCATCCCCGAGTGTTCCGAGATCAGCTCATGCTTGAGACCCCATACTTGAGTATTCTGAGGACAGAACTCTGAGACTCTCATGCCCCATGCCTCGACTCTCCCAGCGGTGTCAGTCACCACACTTAAGCGTTCTCAGCCACCCCCAGCCCCAGTGCGGGGCCTCTGGAGGTGACCAGATGAGGGCAGAGAGGGCCGGCGGCCGTGGCAAGGGACCATGGGGTGAGGCTGGGGGCTGACGCCATCCCAGGCCACACTCCTCAAGGATGCCGAGGCCACAGGCCAGCACCCCCGTCCTCCCTGGTATCCCCTCCTCCAAACCTGCCCCCACCTTCTGCTCCCCAGGTGTTTGAGAGAACCTCAGTGTCTTCCCTCCCCCCCACGCCCCGCCGCCAGCTGATCCCCACCTTGCTGTCCCCCCAGGACCTGGGGCCCCCCGGGGGCTCAGCCCCAGGCCCTACACGGAAGGTAACGGGGCTGCTCCCACTTCTCCCAGCTCTCTCTCTGCCTGTGCCCCCACAGCTTCCTCTCCTCACCTCCCACGCTAACCCGCTAAAACGCCAGTCACCGTCCCGAGTCCCGCCACCGCCACAGCCACAGCCACTGCCACAGCGTTACACGTGGGCTCACCCCTCCCCCACTCCAAGGACAGGCGCATAACCCTTCCTCCCTGCTGCCTGCTGGGGGGCTCCCCGAGACTCCAGCAGCCTGGGTGTCTGGTGGCCCCTTGAGAAAATGGTCTGCATTTTCTCACGGGCTTGCTGATGGAAGCCTGAGTATTTTGTTCTGGTTCGCAGTCTGAGCTTAGGTCTGGCCTGAAGGCTGAGTGTGGTCTTGGACTAAGATTGGAGTTTGGATCTTGCTCACAGGATGACTTTGGGTCCAACTCAAAATCTGACCTTGTCCTGAGCCCTTGCCTAGCCCTCACCTCCATCTTCGCTGCTCTGCTGCCTGTGCCAGGGGGGCTCTGTTTTTCCCACTAGAATCTATGCCTCGCGCTGGGGGCCAGGACGCCACAGGGGTAGGCTCTTCTACAGCCTCACCAGCCCGTGGCCCACGTTGCTCTCTTGGACAGAGAGCCTGGGATGGAAGAAAGCCATGCCATTCCTTGGCTGCTGGTTCTTTTGGCATTGGGAAGTTCTTCCTTCTCTCTAACTTCAGTCCTTGCTGCTGTCCTGCTGCACTTATTTCCTCTTTATTCTTTCCTGGGAATTTGGGGGTGAACCTGCTGTCTGCACCCCACCCCTGGGGGCTGTATTTGGGGAGGAGGGGAGGGGGAAGGTCTGGGAATCTCTCTCTCTGCCAGGTCAGGTTAAGGCAGGGGGGCCTCCGCTCTGGGGAAGGAGAGCCTCCCATGTGCGCACATTCCCTGTCTGGGGCTCCCTGCCGCACAGCGGGCTCAGTGCTGATGGCCACCTGATTTCTGGCCTGGCTGGAGGCCTGGTGGTGCTTTGGTTTCCTGGTAGGGGAGGAGCAGAGGGACATCAGATAGTGGGCAGTGCCTTCTGCTGGGCAGGGGATGGGCACAGAGCAGTGTGAGGAACCTCTAGGACGAGCTCTATGGAAGGGGCACCTCCTGGACTGGCCGTGCCTTTGGCACTTTGGCCCCTCCCATCCAAGCCCTGCCCCTTTCTGGCTCTGGGAGCCCATCCTCAGGGGCCCAGTGGACAAGGCCTTTTGCCCCTGGCTGACCCTCTGCATCCTGCGGCAGCATCGGGCTGTGGAGCCGGGCGAGCATGAGGTCGCCCTCTCTGCCTCCCCAGTCAGCACCCCCCGCTTCCAGGTAAGCAGGTGGCAAGGCTGGGTGGGTTCCTTTGGGAGGGGGTGGTTGGGGGTCCCTGCTGCCCCCTCCCGTCTCCCCACGGCTCCCTTTAGTGGAAGGAGCACTGGCCTTGGAGTCAGACTATCTGGGTTCAAATCCAGGCTCTGCCACTAACTAGCTGTGGGTGGCCTTGGGTGAAGCATGTAACCTGCCTCGCCCTGGTGAGAGCAGCAGTCACTTCACGGGTTAAGGTAGGCACTGAAGGTGAGGAAGGATGTGACGGCACCTGGCACAAGCCTGGTGCTCAGAGTTAGACCAGGATTCACTCATGTTGGGGAGTGGTACTTGGGGCTTCCCTCTGTGCCCTCACCGAGGCCAGGGCCAGGGATGCTGGCACCGGAGCAGGTACCCAAGGGAGCTTTGCCCGAGTGTGTGTGCAGCAGAGGATTTGGCAGGGGGCAAGCCCCACCCCTTCCAGCTGTGAAGCTCTTGGGGAGAGCACACAAAGCTAGGGTTGGCCAGAAGTCTCTGGTTTGAGATGCCAGAGGCTGACATGTGGTCTCTGCCCACACGGGGCCGAAGGTTTCCATCATTCCATTCATTTCAACAAATTACTAATATTTATGAAGCACTCACAACATGCCCAGCGAGCTCACTTCATCCTCCACCGGCCCCACCTTGTTGTGGAGTCATTGCACAGATGGGCACACTCCTGGGAGCAACCCTGAGACTGGCTCCCGGAGGCTCACGTGGGTGGTGTGAAATAAACGTGTGCCTGCCCTGGCCAAACTGGCATCTTTACTGGAAAGTAGGAGGCCGTGGGATATGATGGGAAAGACCTGAATTCTGGTCCCAATTTTGCCTCCAACTTACTGGGTAGCCTCTGTCAGGACCCTCCCTGCCTCAGTTTCCCGATCTGTAAAAGAAAGTGGCTAGGCTCACCTAACTGTAACCCCCATTTTAGCTTGGGGTTTGGTTGTAGGAATCATACTCTTCCTCATCTTCCTTCTCCCCGCAGGCTGCCCCAGGTCCCAGGGCTTTCTGTGTCCCAAGGATCATCTTGACAGAGTGTGCCCCCAGCCCTCCTAGCCCGCCAGAGGCCAGACTTGAGGAACTGGGACCCAGGACAGCTCCCACCCCAAGACCACGGACCCTGGCTGACAGCGGGAGGGGCTGGGATGGCCCACAGGCCCCGCCAGGGGTAGTGGGAGAGACTCCTGGGCTGAGGAGCAGCTTCATGCCCTGGAAGGAGGGGGCAGCTCTGAAGAGACTGGGCAGAGGAGGCTGCAGCCTAGAGGATGGAGGAGCCAGGGTACCCTGTCCTCAGGGACCAGCCCAGGATGGGACTCCGGAGACCTCTACTGCTGACACCTACCCAGAGGAGATCCTCAAGGACTCTGGACACGATGCCCAAAGCTGCAGTAGGGAGCACCAGGGCCAGGCTACTGCCAACTCAGGCTGTGCCACGTGGGGCACCACTGCCCAGCGGATGGACAGCCTGGAGGAGACGCTCCGGGAGCTGGAAGCCACCCTGAGCAACATGGGCACAGGCCCTGCCGTGGGGTCCCCTGGCAGCCCCCCACCCCTACCCCTCAGCCGCCAGGTGGCTGCCCCCTCTTCATCCTTCCCTGCTGCCTTCCTCCTCCATTTCCAGAGTTGGACGGAGTAGGGGGCAGCAAGAATGCCAGGCCAGCCCCCTCCTCCCACCAGCCTTCTCTCAGCTCTTATCACTCTCCTGGGAGCCTGGTGTCAGAGCAGGGTTTGCAGGCAGAGTCCGAGGGAGGCTGGGAAGCCGGCCTACCCAGGGGTCGGCCAATCCCCAGCCTTGGCAAGAACCAGGGCCTCTCCCCTTCTGCTCTGTATCTGTAAACCAACAAATAAAGTTCTCTCCCCACCTTCCCTCTCCACGCTCCCCTCCCCCTCCTGTCTCTGACTCTCTGTCTCTGTCATCTCTCTGCTTGCGCCTCTGGATCCCTAGTGCCCCGTGGGCAGGCCTGGTACTTGGGGAGGTTCATGGGAGCCAAGCTTGCCCATCCCTAGGGAGACCTCACCTCTATCCTCCCCTTAGGAGGAGAATGTGGGCCTGGGGCTGCCTCTCTGCTCTGTGTGCCATTATAGAGAGCCCCTCGCCGGCATGTGCACCCAGGTCCAGATGGTGCCCCTTGCCGGGAGTGGGGTTGCTGCTGGGGACCCTCGCTTTAGCAGAGGCTCCCCAAGGAGGGCATCACCTGCCTCTGGGCTACTCAGGGAAGCCACTGAAGAGCTCTCCCTCAAGAGCTGTTGGGAACCTGGCTGGGACCCCATCCCTCTCCTGCAGGGAGACCATCAATGGGGACTCAGAGAGTAGACCTGAGTTCCGGACTGGGATGTGGAGCCAGAGAGGGGTCTCCAGGTCTCAAAAGGTCCCACTGGGGAGGTCCTAGCCCCGAAACCCCACCCAGTGCTAGGGTTCCTGTGTGATTCACCCCACGTGCACCCGGCAACTGCAACCCTGTTCCTCTTCTTGCAGAGTGGCGGAGGCAGCGTACCGCCCATGAAGGTGGTGACTCCGGGGGCCTCTCGGCTGAAGGCGGCCCAGGGCCAGGTGGGCAGCCCCGACAAAAGCAAACATGGCAAGCAGAGGGCCGAGTACATGCGGATCCAGGCCCAGCAGCAGGTGAGGGCAGGGACCGTGGGGGCCACCCAGGCCCGCTCTGCTGCATGCCGTGCCCCTGCCCAGCTGGGCATCTCCTGCCCCTGCTCCCGTGACCAGCTTTCCCAACCTCTGCCCAGACAGACTTCCCTGCCAGGACTGCCCCACCCACCCCCTGAGCCTTCTCCCTCCTCCTCCGGATCCCGGAGCTTTGGATCTGGGTTAGCACATGAGTTCTCAACCAGGCGCCTCCCTTCTCAGCTGTTCCCTCACTCAGACAGAGAAGACTCGTCTCCAGCTGCCACCGCTGGCTCCTGGAGGAGGGGCGAGGGAGCGGGTTTGTGACTCCAGCAGCCCCAACGTCTGGGTCCCTGGCCTACCCTGGGGTTCAGAAGGGGGATTTTGCGGCCCTCTGCTTCCTGCCATTCTGTTTCTCTCTCCGCTTTCCTCTCCCTCTTCCCAGGGCTCCACCTGCTATTCAGGGCCCCACTCTCACCTCAGCCTCCCTCTTAGCTCTTAGGCCACCCCTAACCAAGGGAGAAGCCAACTTTGCATCTGCTTTTCAGCTTTGTGTTTGGGTTTCAGTGGAGTCACCTCCTGTCTTTGCAAGGTGGGGTGGGGACAGGGCGAGGCACTTTGGCCCTCGGAAAGGGTAGGGCTGCAGCAGGAATTGCAGGGGTGCCGCAATCTCTTTCAGATCTAATGAGCAGGCGCGGGGGCTGTGTGGAGCGTGGACACACCTCACCCGTGGGTGTTTATTGCCCATGTGGCCTGGTCAGAGGCTGCAGGGTGGCTCCTGGACCTAGATATTGTGAGAGACCCTTAGTGCGCTCGTTTGATTCAGTGAATATTTACGAGCAGCTCCCGTATGACAGGCCCGTTCTGGGTGTGAGGGTGGGGGCTGTGATGTGTCCAGATGCTCTCACTTAAAGAAGGTTCTAGACTCAGAGGCAAGATGTTAGAGAAGGTTCTAGACTCAGAGGCAAGAGGTTAGAGGTGGGTGAGTCCATCTCTTTTTCAGATGAGGGGACAGCTCAGAGAAGGAGAGGGGCCTCCCAAAGGTGCACAGCAAGGTGGCATCACAGCCAGGATTGGGACCGAGGGACCTAGGCCCTGGACACCCAAGGCCCTGCCTCCCTACTGGCTCCCAGGAGAATCTCTCAAAAAGCATCCCTCCGGCCCCTCGCAGCCTATCCACAGCTCCCCAACTGCCTCCTCATGGCTCCCAGACATTCTGTGAGCCTCACTTCCTGTTCTTTTTCCTGCCACTGCCAGGGATGAGTTCCCCTTGTCCTGTCCAGGCTGGACCCTCCTGGGTGCCCAGCAGAGCAGCTGACATTGACAGAGCTTTCACTGGGGCCAGGCACACGCATTATCTCATCTCACACTCACCACACTGAGGAAGGTCTTTTACCCCCCTATGGTAGGTGGGGAAACTGAGGCTTAATCCAAGGCCACATGGCTGGCAAGTGGGGGGCAGGACACAAGTCCAGACTGCCTTCCTCCCCACCACAAAGTGCTTCAGCCTCTCCAGCAGGCCCCTCCCTTGGCTCTAATTATGCTCCACTGTTTCTCACCCTAGTTCCTCGCTCCCCAGAGCCCAGCTCCT